GGGACAGCGGAGGCACCGGGACTGCGGGGGACATCGGACAGCGGGGACACCGGGACAGCGGGGACATGGGGGACACTGGGACAGCGGGGTCACCGGGACAGCGGGGACAGCGGGACAGTGGGGACACGGGGACAGCGGGGACACCGGGGACATGGGGGACACTGGGACAGCGGGGTCACCGGGACAGCAGGGACACGGGGACAGCGGGGACACGAGGACAACAGGGACAGCAGGGACATGGGGACAGCGGGGTCACCGGGACAGTGGGGACACGGGGACAGCGGGGACATTGGGACAGCGGGGTCACCGGGACAGTGGGGACAGCAGGGACACGGGGACAGCGGGGACACTGGGACAGCGGGGACAGCAGGGACACCGGGGTCACTGGGGACGGCAGGGACACGGGGTCAGCGGGGACATGGGGACAGCGGGAGACAGTGGGGACACAGGGGACAGCGGGGTCACCAGGGACATGGACAGGGATGGGACAGGGACAGGAGGGGACAAACATGGTGATGGGACAGAGACAGAGGAATCAGGGACAGGAGAGGACAGGGATGAGGACAGGGACAGTGAGGACACGAACAGGAGGGGACAGGGACAAGGATGGGACAGAGAGGACAGGGATGGGGACATGGATGGGGATGGGACAGGGACAGGGTCACCATGGGGTCACTCCAGGCTTGGGGTCACCTCCAACCCACTGGGAGAGCCCGGTCATCTGAGGTGCCCTGGTCACCCTTGGGTCACCCTTGGGTCACCTTTGGGGTTCCCTGGTCACTTTTGGGGTGCCCTGAGCCCCTCCTGGGCGTGTCCCCGTTCCCGGCCGGGGGTGACACGGGACGGTCCCGGGGGTCCCGCCCTTCCCAAACCTCCCGGGACAGCTCCGGGACCCTCCCGTGAGGGGACAATCCCGGGACACTCCCGTGGGACCATCCCGGGACTCTCCGGGGCAGTCCCGGTACATTTCCAGGACACTCCCGGTACAATCCCGGGACCATCCCCGCCTCTCGGGACGCGCCCCCCGCCCCCAACTCCCCCCATTTCCCCTCCCCTCACCGCCCCCTCCCCTCACCGCGCCGCCCCCCGCCTCCGCCGCCCGCAGCGCCAGGCGGAAGCGGCGCCGCCCGTCGTTCCCCGGTTGCACGCTGAGCTGCAGGCGGAGCGCGGCGCCGGCGGCGGCGGGCAGGAGGCGGCAGGGCGCGGCCAGCTCGGCGCGGGCCGCCATCAGCACCGTGGGGGCGGCGGCCGGGCCCGGCCCGGGGGCTCCGGGCGCCGCCATGGCGGCCCCGCCACTTCCGGCCTCCCGCCCGCGCGGTCCGGCCGCCAGCCGGGTCCCCTCCGGGGGAGCGCCGGGAAACGCGGCCGCGCGCGCGGGAGTTCCGGGGAGGGGCGTTCCGCCGAGGCCACGCCTCCGGCCACGCCCCCCGCCCCGCCGTGATTGACAGGCGCTCCCCCCGTCTTTGTCCGCGCCGGCCAATGGGAGCGCCGAGCGCCCCCGCGGTGGGCGGGGCCGCGGGCTCTGCGCTGACTGACGTCGGTGTTGGCCGATGAAAGGCGAGCGCGGCGGTGATTGACGGGTATTCTCGCCAATGGGATCGCGGGCCGCGGGCGCCGCTCGGGCGGGGCGGGCGCGGGCGGGGCGGTGCCGCCGCTGTTGCCGTCCGGTGCCGCAGGAGAAGGTCGCCCGCTCGCCCGCTCGCTCCGGGGGATTCCCAGGATCTCGCTCGGCCGCTCGCGCCGTCTCCCGAGCACTCGGGGACATGTCGAGGTGGGCGGAGGCCCGGTGGGCCGGCGCCAGACGGCGGACGGCGGCCGCGGCGCACTCGCCCTCCTCGAGCTTTCCCCGGAGACGCCTCCCTTTACAAGCGCCCCGAGCCTGAAGGCGCTGCCACGGCGAGGAGGCACCGATAAAGGAGCAGGACGCGCCGGTAAGCCCGCTCGGCCCGCCGTCCCTCTTCTGTGCGCCCTAAAGCCGCGCGAACTACAGCTCCCGGCGTACCCCGCGCCGCCCAGGCGCGGCCTAGCGGCGCGCGGAGCCGCGGGGCAGGATGGGAGCAGTAGTCCGGCGATAGAGAGGCTGCGCCGCCCGCGCGGGGCGTGCCGGGAGGCGTAGTCCGCCGGTACATCGCTGCTATGCGCCGCGCGGGGCATGCCGGGAGCTGTAGTCCGGCGCGCGGGGCACGCCGGGAAGGCGCTTCCTGTGGCGCCGCCCGGGGCCGGGGGAGACTTTTCCGCGTCTTTTTCTTGTTCCTTTTCTTTGTTTTCCTTCTCCTTTTCTCCTCTTTTTCCCCTCTTTTCCTTCCTCCTCCCTCTCTGCGCCTCCCTCTCCGCCTGCCGCCTTTTCCCCCTTTGTGGTGCCGCTGCCAGCTCCACCTGAAGCTGTTCTCCCTCCTCCTCCGGTTCCTTTACTTCCTCTCTCCTTTCCCGTTTCTTTTCCCATTTCTGCTTTTTCCGTCGTTTCCTTCTCCTTCCTGCAGTTCTCTCCCTTCCTTCCCTTTCTCTCCTTCCCGGCATTCCCGCCCATTCCCGCTTTTCCCCGGGGGTGCCGGGGAATCGCCCCGGGCCCATCCCGGTGCCGTCCCTCACCTTCCCCGTTGGTTCCCGGGAGCAGCTGCGGCGCCGGGAGGGAATTCCGGGAACCCCCGGGAATTGTTCCGGGAATTCCCGGGAATTCCGGGAGGATGAAGCTGCTGGAGAACTCCAGCTTCGAGGCCATCAACTCCCAGCTGACCGTGGAGACCGGCGACGCCCACATCATCGGCAGGTCAGCGGGAATGGGCCGGGAAACCGGGAATGCTGGACCGGGAAAAGCCCCAGGAATCTGGGAATACTGAACTGGGAAAGGCTCTGGGAAGCTGGGAATGAGGGACCAGGAAATCTGGGAATGCTGGACCAGGAAAAGCTCCGGGAAGCTGGGAATGGTGGACCAGGAAAAGCCCTGGGAATCTGGGAATGCTGAACTGGGAAAAGCTCTGGGAGGCTGGGAATGCTGTCCCGGGAAAAGCCCTGGGAATGCTGCCCCCAGGAAATGCTCTGGGAATCTGGGAATGCTGTCCTGGGAAAAGCTCTGGGAAACCTGGGAATCTCGGAATTCTGTCCCTGAGGGTCTTGGGAATGCTGTCCCAGGAAAAGCCCTGGGAATCTGAGAGTGATGAACCGGGAATTTGGGAATGCTGACTCTGAGAAAGGCTCTGGGAATCTGGGAATGCTGTCCCAGGAAAAGCTCCGGGAATTTGGGAATGCCATGCCTGGGACACTGGGAATGCTGCCCCAGGGAAGCAGGAATGCTGTCCCAGGAATCTGGGAATGCTGCCCTGGAAAAGCCCCGGGAATCTGGGAATGCTGTCCCCAGGAAATCTGGGACACTGGGAATCTGGGAATTCTTTCCCTGGGACACCAGGAATGCTGTCCCAGGAAAAGCTCCAGGAATCTGGGAATGCCATCCCTGGCAATCTGGGAATTCTGTAATGGGAATATGGGAATTCTGCCCTTGGGAATCTGGGAATGCTGTCCCCAGGTAAAGCTTCGGGAATCTGGGAATGCTGTCCCCAGGAAACCTGGGACACTGGGAATGCGGCCTTGGGAATCTGGGAATTCTGTCCCTAGGAATTTGGGAGTTCTGTCTCCTTGAAACCCAGGAATCTGGGAATTCCGCCCCACGAAACCTGGAATCTGGGAATGCTGCTCTGGGAATGGACATGGGGCTCTGGGATCCCCCAGGGAGGGCTCTGGGATCCCCAGGGGTTTCTGGAATTGGGGATCTCTGGCTGTCTCTGGGATCGGGATCCTGGGGCTCCCCTCGCCCACGGCGCCGTGCCGGGCTCTGTGGGATCTCTGGGTGTCTCTGGGATCCCCTGGGTGTCTCTGGGTGTCTCTGGGATCCCCTGGGTGTCTCTGGG